ACTCAGTCGCATATCACCGTCAGCACATCAAGCCTCAAGTATCACCTCAATGCAAACATATAGCAGCTAGCGTGGAAGCTAGCGTGGACGTTAGCCCGACTCGGAGTACAAGGACCCACACCCAATTCGCGTTGATCAACAGTGGCCTATGCAACAGAGAGATTTATTTTTCATCATGATATTGGAAGAATAGGAGGGATTGAGGTCAATCACTGGCACTTTTTTATTTTATTTTAAATGGTACAGTACACTTTATGTTGAACTATTTATTATGTTGTTGGTGCAACTGGCACTTTATGTTGAACTGTTTATTGTTTTGGCCAAGGTGATTGAGAGAGTTGGACTGAAATTGATTAGATTTTTTAAATCAACTGTTGGTAAATCAACAAAGTCTGTTATGGCCTCTGAAGCAACAGAGAGATGTTTTCTAATAGTCAGGGTTTCCAATGTTCTGAATGTACTTGAAAGTATTGTGTTATACTTAAAAAACAAAGTGTTATAGTTTACAGAAGGTCTACCTACCTATAGGCTACCTGAATCTCTGAAATGTACTATATTCCTAAATATGCTATTGCTACACTTTATGGCAAAAATTGCACTTTTCTGTTGGTCTTGGTTAAGAACATCCTTGAAAAAAATAAACAATGTTTTGTGGCTTAAGCTTATGTATTCAGTCATTATTCAATGGTATACTAAAATCCATGTGAAAAAAATTGCTTCTCACTGTTCTCAGGTCAAATATTTATATGTGATAAAAAATGCGATTAATTGCGATTAATTAATTACAAAGCCTGTAATTAATTAGATTAATTTTTTTAATCGAGTCCCGGCCCTAATATATATATATATATACACACACACACACATATATATATATAACACTCATTCAGCAACTTGAGGAAACATGCGCAGCGTTTAATAAAAGCTGCAGAAACCAAACGCTGCAAATACAAAACGCTGCAAGAAGCTCAAAACACAACGGAGACCAGGGGACACTAAAAAGTGACGCACACAGCTGCGAGAGCAGGGGACACTAAAGAGTGACGCACACAGCTATTCCTTAATCTGACGACGATGAGAATAATATCAGTCTTTTCACACAGGTTAAATGTAAGGATCGTGTAATCGATTAATTGTAATAAACTGAACAGGCCATTATATTTTACAGCATTTTCTTTTAAAACATTATCATCTTGAGCTCAAATATGATGTAAAGATTCTCTCTATTTTAACCCTTAAAGTTACATATGAATATTTATGTTTTCCCGCCGCGGTGCAGCAGACGGTGCAGTCACTCCTTTGGGGTTTTATGTGTATAAGTACCTGCTGGATCCATAAAAAAGCCTTATTAAAAGTATGAGGCGTGCAGATAAATGGTCAGAAGATGTTAATGCGGCGGCACAATGGACAGGAAGTGGCAGAAGACTGGCGGTGACTCTGAAACGAGGCAATAAATCACCTAATTATGAACACGCACCATTTAAGTAGCAGCATCAGTCACCGCAGCGCATTCTTTTGTGCTGTCTATCTGCCACTTCTTCATCTCCTATTTGTCATGTCCCGTGCTGGGACTGTCATCCTTCTTCCAGTACCAACTCAGGGCTTTTGTTCTGGAAGCTGCTGGAAGTTTACTCCTGCCAACTTCACTAAAAAAAAGTTACTTTCCAGCTCCTTCATAAAATGCCATGAGGCTCAAACTGCTAAAGCGTATTTCAAAAAGGCAAATGAAAATGCTTCGCAAAAGAATATATAAAAGCATTAAGACAAGGGAAACATATTATACAATTACATTTAAATATATTTACATTCAATCCAAACTGTAGAGGCTAATTTCTGACCATTGCACAGCTCTTCCAATTTCAGTTCCAACATACTTCACATTTTCTCAGAGTAAATGTGTTATTCCTATTGTACTTCATTTTTCTTGTAAAAAAATTCCAAATGTTGAAGAAAGTCCGAATTATGGGAAAAAGTCAACATAAAAAATAAAGTCATCATTTGGAGAAAAAAATCAAAATCTTGGAATAAAATCGGAATTCAGACAAAAGTCATAAATGTGGGAAAAAAGTCAACATTTATTTAAAAATGCACAATTCTGAAAGAAATTTGAATCCTGATTAAAAAAATATATCTGAAATCTCGGAAAAGTAAAAATTAAAAAAAAAAAGTATTAATTCTAAAATCAAAAAATAAAATAGAGTTTTGGAAGTGAGTAATAATTATTGGAGAAAAAAAATAGTAAGAATTATTTAAAAAAAGTAAATTCTGACAAGCCATTATTTTATTAATATTCAAATTTCTGAGAAAAAAATGAAAATCATTCTGGGGGAAAAAATCAATATCTTGAAAAAAAAGTAATTCAGGTGAAAAAATAAATCATAATTCCAACATTTCAGATTTTCAGAATTCAGAGGAAAAAAAGTCTACATTTTGAGAAAAAGTCAGATTTATGGGAGAAAACATTCTGGATCTCAGAACCCCCAAACATGCATGCACCTGAGGAAACAACACATACATAGGTGTAAGAAGTCAGGAGGATTAGTCAGGGTGTCCGTGGGGTCTTCAAAAGTATTAAAAGTTGATAAATCAATTTAGCGAAAATGAAGGCTATTGAAGTATTAAAGGGCATTTCCCAAGGTGTTACATTTTGTAGCTTGTTTTCAATAAGTATATAAATGGTCCAAAGAGGTTGTATTCTACAGTCTGCCTGAATGTAATCACTGCCTAGGTGTGTAGTGTGATTCTGTGTAGTTTATTTATGGCATCCCGTTGGATGTGACGTCATCTGAACAGGATATCGCACGCTCACTGCTTGATAGCGCGCGAAGGTCCATTTACGCCGGTTGTTAAACAACATCGTTATGGGGAAATGCAAGTCTGCGTCCAAATGGTTGGAAGATAAGGAGGAAGGACAATCAATACTGTATATAGTAAATGTGAGGTAAAGTGTGTTGCCAAGGTAACCGGTTAAAACTCAAAGTGGAGATGAGGTCTTAAAATGTAAGAAAAGGGTCTTAAAAAGGTCTTTAAAGGTCTCCATCTGACTTTAGGACTCCTGCATAGACCCTGAGTAGTGGTCCTCAGACAATTATGAAGCACATGTCCCTTAGCAGAACGCTTTGTGCCACAGCTTGTTTTTCCTGTATTGAATACTTGTAAAAGTGGGCAGTTTGCTGGTTCTCTGACATGTTGTGATGTTTCTCGTTTCCCCGAGGACTCTGCAGCTGAAAGCCTTAAAGCTGTTTCCTCTCACTGTTTATAATCTCTAAACTTATCCATCTGTCTGATAAGGCTTGTTTAACGTGTTGATAGCTTCGTATCGGCAGCAGAGACACTTTGTGGTGTCTGCATGCAGGCAGACTGAAGTCCAGCTGAGCAGATAGGCAGAATGTAGCCTCCCTCTCTATCAAGAGCCCAGATTACAGCTTCTTCCTCGGGGAGAAGGCTCCTCTGTTTAGTGACAGACTCAGCCCTGACAGATAAGTTTTCTAATTAACCCGCCTGGCAGAAATGCACCTGAGATACAGGCAGAGTTTATTTCACCTGCCGTACAACAGGTTCCTCTCTGTTCAGCTGCGAGGGAAGAACTTTATCTGGACTAGTCCAAACTCTGTCCAACACAAAGCAGCTGCTCGATAACGACTTGTCACCTGGAGGAAACTCTGACTGTGACTTTGGCAACAAAATCCCCCTGCAGTGTCACTCTCCTCTGGTGGAGTTTGGGAGATAAAACGTGGATTTGTTGCACAAAAAAAGAGGAAATACTCAATTATTTTTATGTCATGTTTTCTAATGTGGGAGTACCACAACCGGATGAATCCACACTTTAATGGGGGTGGTCCTTGAATGTGGAATGAGTCAGCATTTGCAAATAAAAAACAAAACATGTGGAGCCCACCAAAGTGTTCATTATAGCTGTACCCTGAAATCATTTGTGCCTTTTTTATTTATTTTTAGAAACTGAACACCCCTGCTGTTCTGAAAGCCCCAAAGGAAAGGAAGCCCAGCAAGAAGGAGGGAGGAACAACAGGGAAGGCCTCCAGCCTGCCAGCTATACTCTACAGGTGAACACACACACACACACACACACACACACACACACACACACACACACACACACACACACACACACACACACACACACACACACACACACACACACACAAACACAGAAGGTTAAATGATCAAGTGAATATAGGCCACCCAAGGACAGACAGACACACAAACAAACCGAACGGTGTAGAGTACAGTGACTAAGCTGGTCCTGGAAAAACTAGGGTTTAGTTGTAAAACATGTGAATAGTTTCTGATGTGTGTTACGATGATTTTAGCCTTTTCCTCAAGGTTTGCAAGAAATAGAATGTGTGTTACTTGATTGTGCAGGTCCCCACTAACACAAGGACACCACTGCTGTGTCTCAAATCATGTCTAAAACCCTTCTTTATATGATTAAAATTCTCTTTCTTAATGACCCTTCACCAGCTGTTCTTCGAGCACAATGGAACACGATTCTTGCTATTTTACTTCTCCATCTTCACTTATTGTCAGTTCCTCTGGATAAACTCGTCAGCTCAATGCCTTCATGTGTTCCTGCAGTTGTGGCATCTGTAAGAAGAACCAGGACCAACACCTGCTGGTTCTGTGTGACACCTGCAAGCTGTACTACCACCTGGGCTGCCTGGAGCCCCCTCTCACACGCATGCCCAAGAAGACCAAGAACAGCTACTGGTGAGGACATGGAGACACGTAGAAATGGGGACACTTAGATATGGAGATACAGAGACCCTTAGATATGGAGACACAGAGACACGTAGAAATGGAGACATTTAGACACTTAGATATGGAGGCATGGAGACACTTAGATATGGAGACAATTAGATATGAAGACACTTAGACACTTAGATATGGAGACAATTAGATATGGAGACACTTAGATATGGAGACACTTAGATATGGAGACACTTATATATGGAGACACTTATATATGGAGACACATAGACATGGAGACACTTAGATATGGAGACACTTAGATATGAAGACACTTAGACACTTAGATATGGAGACACTTAGATATGGAGACACTTATATATGGAGACACTTAGATATGAAGACACTTAGACACTTAGATATGGAGACACATACACACATAGACATGGAGACACTTAGATATGGAGACACTTAGATATGGAGGCACATACACACATAGACATA